CATGTCTGAAGGCCAACGAAGAAATTGACATACAAGCGTTGCAGTCGCAGCCAGAACACTTGAAATCGACATGCAAGCGCGAACAATGTTTGGAACAGTGTCTGAATCTCGAGAAGGATAGGAAATCGCCTTTTATTTTTCTTGGCCTCGATCCTGATCCTGAGTGCGATTTGAAGCCAGAGCGTCTTGCACCGCAGTTGTCGATGGTCCACGCGAAAGTTGTGGCACAGGCGGCGGCGAAGAAACAAGCGCAGTTGGGCAAGATCGCAAAAGCCGAGGCTAATCGGAAAAGGTTGCTGAAAGGGTTATGCAGAAGTCGCCTGGCCAACTATTCGACATGGTCGTGAATGACCGTGTCGCAAAAGCGTTGAAAGCAAAATGGAAAGCAAGAGCCGCGCCCTCAGTGCCGGCGACGTGGTACCAGAAGAAATGACAGTACGAAATGTATCATGGCTGCGATCTTGAGGAAGAAGATATATTGAAATATATGCCAAGAAACGAGGTCCCCCCAGCGGGACTGGGGCCAAGGATCGCGACTGCCAGAAAGGCAAGGACCAGAAATGAAAGGGCAAAGGCAAAGGCAAAAACTACGACAAAGAAAAGGGTAAAGACAAGGACCACCCGAAGGGCAAGACCAAAGGAACATATGGAAAGTCGAGCGGCAAGGACAAGGGCAAGGGCTACGACTCCAATGCCAAGTATGCGCCGAAAGCTCGTGGCCGCGGTGCTTACAGAGGCAGGGGCCGCTCTGCGAGTGGCCAGGGGCGCGGTCGTAGTTCCAAGGGAGGAGGAAAGCGAAACGTTGGGCGCGCTTGGTGAACATCAAACGTTCTGCCAAGAAGAGCTCAGAACACTTCAATGAAAGCGCAAGTAGGAAATGCCACAAGAACTGCGCGCACAATTGTAAAACGACGGGGTGATTCCTCACTTTGCTTCGGGGGTTGGAGAAAGTTCAACTTGGCCAGCTGTTGAAGCGTGGGCGAGGGCAGCCAGGCGCGTGCATTTTTGACGCGAACGCGTCCACCAGCAGGATTCCTAAACCTTTGGATGTTTCGTGGGCGGTAGAATACGTTCTGCGACATCATCGCAAACATATATTTGGGCTTCGCCGTTCCCCGTCTTTGGAATCGATTACGAGAGGTCTTTTGGACGTCAGACATAAATTGGCTTGGAGGCACCACTGCAGTCACCTGGCGTGCTCTTCGCAATGCCGCATTGAAGCGGAAGACCCAATATGGAAGCACATCAGAGTAAAACCAGAAAGAGCAAGGCCGCGCGACGAGCTCATGGATGTATCTGCCGAGGCTCTTATTCGAGATTGATGCTGTGATGTATGGAATTTTTCGCGCGCGCACGGATCCGGTTGGGCGGGCTTCTCATCGCCCCCAAGACCGTCACGCATGCTTTGACAAAGTTGAAGCACGGCGTATGGGGCGCCAGCCCGACAGACAAAGACGGAGGGTTTGCCTTAGTCACAAAAAGGGCAGCTGATCACAGCATATGGGAAAGTGTTGAATGGACGTATCACTTTATTCTCATGGTCCAGATTTCGACCCGCAGGCGGTGGTAGAGGAGCTGAGAGACGCAGCCATAGAAATATGTGAATATGGGAGAGGTGAACCAGACAAGCACCTATATAAGAGTCTGGTGTCATGCTGTGATGAGCCATTCCACTGGGTCGTGTACAAGATGAGCTGCACGGTCAAAACACAAACCGCAGGGCAAAAACGTCAACAGAGCTCTGCACTGCATGCAGCGGCGCTCCCCAATGCTACCCATGTGCAACTTTGTCTTCTGGGCCCTCAGGGACAAGCTGCGGACTCTCCCTCATCTACTTCGTGATTCAGCGGACTTTGTCGACAAGATCCGGCATGTTCGATTCTCCCCAAAACTCAGGATCATGAATATCGAAGTCAATGACTATTTCAAGCGGAGCGCGCGAAGTTCTTCGACGGGAGCTTGAAGAACCAGTTCCGCGAGGCTTTGTCCTGTGTCCTCGACGACCAGTTCGTTCAGCTACATGATGTGCAATTTTACTTCAAAGTAGAATGTGGCTCTGGCATGGGGTGCGCGTGCAGTGGCGAGGTGCCATGGAGCATTTCACCACCTTTGCGAAGTTCAAGTCGTAGACGACGCACAGTACAGGAGCAATGTGGGATCAAACTGTATTTCAGGGTTCAAAGACGATATCATTGTATTTTTCGACGGTGACGCACAGGACGTGGACAGACTTTATCGTGATCTGTCCAACAAACCAAAGCCATTCCGCGTGGAGCTGGAATCTTGTAGTTCGGAGTATGCCACATACCTGGATGTGAAGGCATGGTGCCCTCGATCGTTCGACAGTGGTGGGATGTTGAACTATAGTGTATACACAAAGAGAACAAGCCAATGGGTTCCATTAAGCAACTCTTCTATGCACCACCCAGAGGTGCACCGAGCGTGGCCGTTTTTCCATGCTGACGCGCTTCTTTCGCTTGTCAAGGCATAAGTCCGATGCGAGCGACGAGCTCTCGAGATTCTGCCCCCTCCTGAGGCAGGGCGGGGCAGACGAATCCTCTGTGCACGCACTGGCTAGTAGTTCCAGCACTGGCGTCTCCAAGAAGACCAGCGGGGGACCGACATATATCTTTCTGGTCATTCCGTATTTCCCACAATTTGGGCGCTCAGGAGTTCAGCGAGCCGTCGCCCGTCTGAACAAGTCATGGTCCCACCTTCTAGGCTACAGGATCCGAGTAGCCTGGAAGCTTGGCGGGGCCCATCTCGCAACGGTGGTAAAAAGGTTTCAACCGTGAGATCTTTGACGGCGCCTGCGAACACGTGACTGTATGACGTACCAGTCTGAGCTGATTCTCTTTGGAGGTGTACAAAGGGTTGGACGGCGGGACGTTTCTCTTTTCTCGTTTCTGTCACATGAAACAAGCGGCAATTCTGTCGTAACGGCGCTTGGCGATCGCAGCAGTCTGTCGCAACGGCGCCTGGCGGTTGCAGCAACTCTGTCGTAACGGCGCCGGCGGCTGAAGAGAAAACAACAGCCGCTCTGTCGTGACGGCGCTTGTGGTCGATTCATGCCTGTATCCGTAGTCAGTTTGGCCCTAGAAGGCTTACCCGGCGAGCTCTCAGCACGGCTCGGAGAGTCCCTGTGTGGCCAACGCCTTGTCGCAGCGGTTTCCCGCTAGCTGAAAAAGGAGACATTATCATTATCAGCATCATCATCATCATCATCGTCATCATCATCATCACTATCATCATCATCATTATCATCATTATTGCCCGCTGCGTCCCCGCTCGACAACTCGACGTTGGCTCAAGACCAACGCATATTCCAAGCACCCTGAGGCGCATCCTGGTGCCCGACTCCTCGATGACCCACCCGTCGGTGCAGCGATCTCTTTTCGCGAGCGCGCCCCGCGCTCTGACTCCTGGTTGCCAGCAAGACTGGTTGGATTTAGACTTGCGTCGTGGGGCGATCAATCAGACGAAGTCTGTGATCCTGTTGATGAGCATGCATGACCGCGATTGGCCGAATGATGAGCATAGTATGGCGCCCCCCCCCTGGGCTGGACCCCCCCGCGGAGGCTGATGGAGCGATGCTGCCTGGAGTTCCCATCTCTATTCCTGATTCCTGTTTTGCGTCACCAGTCAGCTCAAGTCAGCTTCGTGTTTCAAACCAAGGACGATTTCGTCTCATGTCTTGCTGAGTCGCACGCTCATCGGGGGGGGAGGGGGGCGTATGTCTCGGGGGCGAGCAGTCGTTTTGCATCTTGGGCCCAGGCGACGGCGCGCGCGATCTTTGGTCGTCATTATGCCGACCCGCAAGGGTGGTCGCGGGCTGAAAGGATTGAGTTAGTCCAGCAGCCAACCAAGCAGGCCAAACGATATCGCGAGCTTCCGGTGACCGACCAGGCGGCCGCATGGCGGTCCTGGGCCTTCGTCGCACTCCAGAGACTGCATCGGCACCGCGTGCGCGAGAACGGTCTCGCCAAGCTCATTCAGACAGGGGCCAAGCTCGCTCAGGACACGCCATCCAGAGCCCAAGGTGTTATCGTAGCCAATGCTCAGGGGCCGTCTTTGGAGGCATGGGGGCACTGTATCGGCGTTGGGAGGTTTCGGAAGCCAGTCTTTTGGGTGGAACGTATTTCGAAGCGGGCTCAGCGCAGGGCCAATCGTCCGTGCGCTACGGCCACTTGGGATCCCGAGGTCACCGCACGCTCTGCCACCGCACCGTTTGGGGATCCCGAACATTTGGGGCACGTCATCTACACTCATGTTTGCCGATCCTGGCTGGGTCCTTCCCTGCGCCTAGGATCGGTTTGTGCGCCCCCTTGGTTTGGCCACGGAGGCATGTGCACCGATCTGTGCCAGAGGATCGGGCAGCCGGGGATCGGCGAGGTAGAGAGTAGACGCCCCGTCCATCGATGATCGAAGATTGACGCTCTTGCGCGCTCTTGGAAGAACGCAGCAAACGGGGGTCCTGGAGGAACGGGACCTCGAGGCTATTTCGCCCTTGCTGGTCTGCCGGGGCCCCTCCCGCCCGGCGACCGCCTCGAAGTTCTCGCCAGGACGCACCTTTGAAGCCCTTGGGTGACGCTTGTGGCCCAGCTCTTTCTGCTCGAGCCGAAACTGCGACAGAGGATGTTCGCCGTGTTCGGCGTCTGGAGGCCCCCGTCGGGCGCCGTGACCATCAAGGACGATGTTGGACGAAATGCTGGTCTCCAGGGAAGCGGCGAAAATTCCAGGGGCCGCTGACTCTCGGACAACTCTGGTCGTCGATGGTCTGGGTCCACCTCCGCCTTCTCCTTTTTCTCCCTTCTCTTCCTCCCTCGCCTTCGCCCCTGCCCCTCCCCCCCCGTCTCAATCCCTTCCTGCCAGGATTCGGAGGGCCCCATGGGGCTCCAACATGGAGCGAAAAACTTGGAACACCGTGGGCCAGGGACAGTTTCGTCAATCCCCGAAGGATGGGTCATGTGTGCTTTCTCTGCTCCCCATTACCGCCTCAGACGACGGCACAGCAAAGCTCTGGTGTGCTGCCACGGGGGAGTGCTCGCGGACGCTGAGCGGCCACGCAGACTGCGTCTGCTCTGCCGTGTTCTCGCCCGATGGCGAGGAGGTGCTCACCGCCTCCGACGACGGAACGGCGAAGATCTGGTCCGCTGCCACGGGGGAGTGCCGCTGCACCCTGGGCAGGGGCGGGGCCGACGTGGTCAACTCTGCGGCCTTCTCGCCCGATGGGCGGCAAGTGCTGACGGCCTGCTCGGACGGCTCGGCGACGCTCTGGTCCGCCCCCAGCGGGGACTGCCTACGCGTGCTGGAGGGGCATGCCGAGGGTGTGTGCTCCGCCGCATTCTCCCCACGAGGTCGGCACGTGATCACCGCCTCCGACGACTGCACGGCAAAGGCTCCACGGGAAAATGATCGGTGCGATCGGTTCGCGGACGTTGTCAGTTGTCCATTTGGGACCACGGGCCGCTGCCCAACAGCGGGCGCTGTCGGTTTTGGACAACACTTGCTTTGGGGCATCGTACAATTCTTTCCCGTATTCATTCCAGGTGTGTCAGAATTAGTTTGGCGAGATGCCCAATTCTCTGCAGCTGCGTGTAGCGCAGGATCTGGCCCTCTCCCCGCGGACTGCGCGCCGCGAGAGGGGAATGGGCAAAACAGGCGACGCCCCGCATGCGGCCAGGCCCACTGAGCCCGTGCTAGTATGCGAGGGGCTCCTTGTGAGGCCTCGGTCCGCATCGGAGGTGCGCCGAAGTGAGCCCGGCCTGTATGCGGTTGTGAGGCCGCAGGTGGAGCTCCATCTGGGGCTACGATCCGCGTGTGCCGACATGGTGCTGCCCCGCATGCGGTCGCACACACTGGGGCCACAGGTTAAGCTCCCTGCAGGGCCACGATCCGCGTGAGGGGTGTACCGGAATGGGCGCGCTCCTGTGAGGGGTGTGCCGAAGTGGGCTTGGGCCCGCCACATACGGTGGCGCCCGAAGAGACAGAAGTGTGAGCTCCTTTTGGCGCTTCTATCCGCGTGAGTAGAGTGTGTGTGTGTGTGCCAGAATTGGAGTTCACCATGGGGCAATGGTCCGCGTCTTGAGGGGTGTGCCGAAATGTGCGCGGGCCCGCACGCGGTGGAGCCCACTGAGACCGCAGGCGGAGTTCCCTGGGGCCACACGGTCCGCGTGAGGGGTGTACCGAAGCAGGTGCGGGGATTCCACGCGAACGCACCCACTGGAGCTATAGGTGGAGCGTCCCATGGGGCCGCGATCCGCGTGAGGGGTGTGCCGAAATGGGCGCGGGACGCCATTCGAGCGCACCCGCCGGGGCCGTCGGTGGAGCTCTCTATGGGGGCACGAAGCGTGTGAGGAACGTGCAGAATTAACAGAGAGATGCGGAGAGGCGGAATAAGCGGAGGAGGAGGAGAGAGATTTGGATGAGGAGAAGACGGAGGCGTGGCGCGGCGGTGCGGATCCAAGGCGAAGACCCAACAGCACCGGATAGTTGGGAACAAACAACAGACATAAGCATACACTTTCGGACGCCCCCTGGCGGCGCCTCCAGCGCCGCCCCTGGTGTGTTTCCCGCGCCAGGGCGGGGGAGTCCGGCGCCAACCCACGAAAACCGTGCGGACCTCCGACGGTCGATTTTCCTCCAGCTGTTTTGCTCTTGTAGAAAGTCGTCGGCGCGCCGAGGGGAAGAGTGAGAAGGGGCAGGCCTCCCAAAAGGCAGCGGGGCTTCGGAGGCAGCTCAAAAAAAAATTAGCCTGGCGAAGAACCCAACCATATGCAGTTGTCAGTACCGCAGCTGCGGGTTTCATCTTCAATGGAACTCCCCATAGGACTACGGAACGTGTGAGGGGTGTGCCGAGATGGGTGCCACTGGGGCATTCGGCGAAGCTCCCTATGGGGACATGAAACACGCGCGGGGCGTGCCGACATGGGTGGCGGAAACGCATGTGCAGGCCGCCACTGGGGCCTCCAGTGGAGCTCCCTATGGGTCCCCGAAACATGATGCTGCTGCGGGGGGGGGGGGCCGGGATGGGTGGCGGAGACGCATGTAAGCGCCGCTACTGGGGCCTTCGGTGGAGCTCCCTATGGGGCCACGAAGCGCGTGAGGGGTGTACTGGGATGTGTGGCGGGGACGCATGTGAGCGCCGCCACTGGGGCCTTCGGTGCAGCTCTCTATGGGGCCACGAAACGTGTGAGGGGTGTGCCGAATTGGGTGCGGGTGGTGACGCATGCAGGCGGTGCCACTGGGGCCTTCGGTGGAGCTCCCTATGGGGCCACGAAACCTGTTGTTGTGAGGGGCGTGCTGGGATGGGTGGCGGGTACGCATGTGAGCGCGGCCGCTGGAGCCTTCGGTGGAGCTCCCTATGGGGCCACGAAACGTGTGAGGGGTGTGCCGAATTGGGTGGGTGTGGGTGACGCATGTGAGCGCCGCCACTGGGGCCTCCGGTGGATGGGGCCACGAAACCTGTCAGGGATGTGCCCAAATGGGTGTGCGGGACGCATGCGCATGTGAGCGCCGCCACTGGGGCCTTCGGTGGAGCTCCCTATGGGGCCACGAAACGTGTGAGGGGTGTGCCGAATTGGGTGCGGGTGGTGACGCATGCAGGCGGTGCCACTGGGGCCTTCGGTGGAGCTCCCTATGGGGCCACGAAACCTGTTGTTGTGAGGGGCGTGCTGGGATGGGTGGCGGGTACGCATGTGAGCGCGGCCGCTGGAGCCTTCGGTGGAGCTCCCTATGGGGCCACGAAACGTGTGAGGGGTGTGCCGAATTGGGTGGGTGTGGGTGACGCATGTGAGCGCCGCCACTGGGGCCTCCGGTGGATGATGGGGCCACGAAACCTGTCAGGGATGTGCCGAAATGGGTGTGCGGGACGCATGCGCATGTGAGCGCCGCCACTGGGGCCTTCGGTGGAGCTCCCTATGGGGCCACGAAACGTGTGAGGGGTGTGCCGAATTGGGTGTGCGGGACGCATGCGGGCGGCAGCACTGGGGCCTTCGGTGGAGCTCCTATGGGGCCACGAAACGTGTGAGGGGTGTGCCGAATTGGGTGTGCGGGACGCATGCGGGCGGCAGCACTGGTGCCTTCGGCGGAGCTCCCTATGGGGCCACGAAACGTGTGAGGGGTGTGCCGAATTGGGCGTGCGGGACGCATGCGGGCGGCAGCACTGGGGCCTTCGGTGGGGCTCCCTTCCCGGGAACCCATGGGGCCACGAAACGTGTGAGGGTGTGCCGAATTGGGCGTGCGGGGCGCATGCGGGCGGCAGCACTGGGGCCTTCGGTGGGGCTCCCTATGGGGCCACGAAACGTGTGAGGGGTGTGCCGAATTGGGTGTGCGGGACGCATGCGGGCGGCAGCACTGGGGCCTTCGGTGGGGCTCCCTATGGGGCCACGAAACGTGTGAGGGGTGTGCCGAATTGGGTGTGCGGGACGCATGCGGGCGGCAGCACTGGGGCCTTCGGTGGGGCTCCCTATGGGGCCACGAAACGTGTGAGGGGTGTGCCGAATTGGGTGTGCGGGACGCATGCGGGCGGCAGCACTGGGGCCTTCGGTGGGGCTCCCTATGGGGCCACGAAACGTGTGAGGGGTGTGCCGAATTGGGTGTGCGGGACGCATGCGGGCGGCAGCACTGGGGCCTTCGGTGGGGCTCCCTATGGGGCCACGAAACGTGTGAGGGGTGTGCCGAATTGGGTGTGCGGGACGCATGCGGGCGGCAGCACTGGGGCCTTCGGTGGGGCCCTATGGGGCCACGAAACGTGTGAGGGGTGTGCCGCTGCGATGTGATGGGGCCACGAAACGTGTGAGGGGTGTGCCGAATGGGTGTGCGGGACGCATGCGGGCGGCAGCACTGGGGCCTTCGGTGGGCTCCCTATGGGGCCACGAAACGTGTGACGCATGCGGTGTGGGGCCTTCGGTGGGCTCCCTATGGGGCCACGAAACGTGTGAGGGGTGTGCCGAATTGGGTGTGCGGGACGCATGCGGGCGGCAGCACTGGGGCCTTCGGTGGGGCTCCCTATGGGGCCACGAAACGTGTGAGGGGTGTGCCGAATTGGGTGTGCGGGACGCATGCGGGCGGCAGCACTGGGGCCTTCGGCGGAGCTCCCTATGGGGCTACGAAACGCTGTACTGGGCGGGTGAAACGCAAGGAAGAGGGGGAGGAGGGAGGCGGAGGAGGAGGAAGGAGGAAGGAAGGAGACGCGGGGCACCGTCTCTTCAAAACGAGGACCCAACACCACAGGATGGTTGGGAAAAACATAAAAAAGAAAGCGCCTCAGAAGGCCGGAGGCCTTCTGAACTTTCGGAGAAGGCTCGCCCCCTCTGCCTTCCTCTCTGCCCGGACATTCGACGTCGTGTTTCTTTCACACCGTGGTTCGCCAGAGGCCTGGACCCATTCCCTGGGACCAGTGATCCATCCTGAGTCGTTTTTTGACGGTCCCAAGGCCCGGCGAAGGCCTCCGGAGTCCGAAAATGAGCAAACATTTTCTGTCGTGATTTGCTCCCAGTGAGAGGATGCCAGGGGTGGGCGCGCCGCCGAAGAAAGGTCTGGTCGTCCTCCTCGGGGGAGTGCCTCCGCACGCTGGAGGGGCACCAGGAGGGCGTGCAGTGGGCCGTCTTCTCCCCCGGCGGTCTTCAGGCCGCCACCGCCTCCGCGGACTGCACGGCGAGGCTCTGGTCCATGGAGCCTCGGGCGACGCCAAGTCTTCAGGGGCAGCGTTAGGGAGAGATAGGTTGTTGAGAACTGGGGCAGAAGAACGATCGGGTTCGAAGCTTCGGGTTCGAGGTTCGAGGTTTTCGTCGGTTCTCAGCGATTTCTTCCGGCCTCGGGATGTTCTACAGCAGCTGCGCCGCGCCGACAGCGTTCTGCGGGTTCCCCGATCGTCCCGAACCGCCGCCCGAGAGCCGAGCTATGACTCGAAGACCAAGGGGCAACGTGCGGGAGGGAGGGGCTCAGGGTGGGATGCATCGACGTCGGAGTTCTGGTGCTGGTTGGAGCAAGTCCAGGCGGAGCCAAGGGGCTCCATCTGGTAGATCTCTTTTTGGACGCAGCCTCTTCCCGGGCGACGCTATGAGTCTGGATGGAGCAGGCCTGGCTGGAGGCAAGGGGCTCCATCAGATGGGCTTTCAAGTGTACTTAGCCTCTCCCGAGGAGTCCTGGGAGTGCACGGGGACGCTCGAGTGCGACAGTGACGTGTATTCCGCCGTGTTCTCTAGAAGATCAGAAGACGGCATAAATATGAACGTTGGAGGCACGCGCGGATGAATAGGTTCGGAGCCAGATGCCCCCTGACCTTGCGGGCGAAACGATGACCCAAGACATCCGCGCGTACCTTGGGAGGCCTAGAGGTTGGCATCAAAGCCAACATCGGCGCCTGCCTCCTCCGAGGCAAGATGATTCTGGACTTGAGGGTGATAGTAATACTCTGGCTCTTTCTGTGGCCCAAATATTACCACCGAATAAAACATCTAGGATCATGATTCCCCGATGGAGGCAACCTCCAGTTTTTGTGTTGGTGACAAGTTGAAGGCCTTCATAGGTGCGTAGCATAGGACATCGACCTGCCAGCAGGTACACCAATGAAGTTTCCAACACACAGATGGTTCCACGGGCCCACAGAAGCTCCGGGGCACCTGAGGACCCTGCAAGATCGACGAAGAGTGTGTCCCAAGATTTCCTTTAGCACGATTTCTTATCGTATGTGTCTTTGTACCTCCCGAACTGTATGTCTGTGCCGTCGTCTGTTCCTCTGCTCTCGCCCGACGGGCAGCAGGTGCTTACCGCCTCTGGTGACGGTACGGTGAGGGCGTGGCTGGCCTCCTCCGGGGACTGCTGGCGCACGCTCGAGATGAGCCGCGGCTGCGTGCTGCACGCGTCGTTCGTGCCCTGCAGATAAGCCATCCGAGCCGGTGCGCACGAGGGCGCTGGTGGTTGTGTGCTGATGCGCGTTCCTCGTGGCTCGCGCCGAGCGCGAGGGGGAATGCGATAACCGAGACCGAGGAAAATGAGGAGGCTCATGATCTTGAGGATCAGGAGCGAGACGGGGTGGGACTGTGTACGCGAGTTTGGGGGGGAAAAGGGGTGAGCGCGCGACGGCTTCTCCGTAGCCGTCTGGGCGCGACGGCTTTTCCGTAGCCGTCCGGGCCCGAGTTTGGCTCATACTGGCTAAGCTGGAGGAAGCGCCCCTCCTCTTCCCCGCCTGGTCAAGGGCTCGGCGTCCGCCAGCCGAGCAGTGCCCAAGGCCAGGGCGAGGGGCAACGTCGGCCGCGGGGAACGGCGCACGGCCCAGACCCCACGCTTCGAGCTTGCCTCCACAGGTGGAGTCGGAGGGAGACGTGGCGCCACCACCTGAGAAGAAGGGCAGGCGCGGGGGGGGGCGCAAGAAGGGCTGCCCCGCAGGGCCGCGGTGGAGGTCGAGCCGCGCGAGCGGCCAGCGGCGCCAGGCCGAGGGGCATCGGTCAGGTGGGGGGGGGGCTCCCCAGATTCACTTGGCCGCCCGTCTCGCGAAGCGTGGTCCATTCCACGAGGCGCTTGGGGGCAGGAGGTGCTTGTGGGTCGCGAGGCGCTTCCCAGTCGTCCTCTCCAGAACGCGACGCTCAAGTCTCAATCGTGACAGGGCCCATCCGTGCCACACCCCCAGATGGTCGAGCGCGATCGGCCGAGACCGTGTGTGTCCTAGGCTCCGCAAGAGAAGAACAGAGAGGCGTGCGCGCCAGAGCGGCCTCAACGCTCCCTGGGTCCGCCCCCCCGCGGGCGTGAGGGCCCCCTCCCCGTAGGGCGGGAGGCGCGGGGAAGGGACCCCCTCCCCGAGAGGTGCGTGGGGCGAGGCGCGTGCCTTCCTGTGACGCCGCTCGCAGAGCGGGCACGAGGTCAGGGGCAACGGTACGGGGGGGCAACTCTCAGGGAGTGATGCATCGACCCTCGCCCATTGACCCCGATAACCGCATGTTAGGGGCCCGATAGCCCAACCCCGCCCAGGATCGTGCGGATTCGCTATCGTGGGCATATCGCCGATCTATCGGCGATGCATCGCCGATTCCACGGCGATGTTTCGCCCCTGTTTCAGTCCCGCCTTAATCCTCACCCCTCTCAAGATCGGAGAAACGCCCGCCCGCCTCGTGGTCTGGCTGCGGCGGGCGTCCGCGGGGAAGGCAAGGGCGTCCAGGGCGGCGCCGCCGAGGCCCGAGGGTCCACCTCTGCAGGTGGAGTCAGAGGTGGCGGCGCCTGCGAGGAGCATGCCCTCGACCAGTTTCGAGGCCCGACGACTGAATCGACTTGCGGCGCGCGACGTTACTCCGAGCGGACGCAGTCGCCCGGCGGAGCCCATCAGGATCCATCAGGATCCTGGCCGCCAGGCCGCGCCAAGAGCGCCTCGAGGCGGCGCTGCCGCGGAAGAGGAAAGGCAGGCACGGGAGGGGCAGGAAGGGCCGTCCCGCGGGCTCCGTGGTGGAGGGTCGCATCGCACGAGCGACACTATCGAATTTGGCGCCCTGTTCCGCGGGAGATTCGTGCTGCTGGGTGGCAGGGCCGACGGCCTCACGTTCACAAGTTGCGGCCTCGACGGTTGCCTCGCAGGGGCAGGGTTCGTGGGCGACGTCGAGGGGATCCGCCAGCACGGCAGCTTCGGCGAAAGTCTTAGCGGGGCGGAGGTAGGCCAGGGGATGCTTCGCTTCTGCGGCGCTGGCCCTGCCATCTGCAGGGCAACGTACCCAGACACGGACCGCGAGTTGGTGCGCGCCGCATCGGCTCATGTCAAGCCTCGACGATTTCTTCAAGCGTTCAGGAGCACAGATGGCGAGGAAGTCTCAGGCGAAACTCCTGGTGGCCCGCCCTACCAACACGTCGAGAGTGGTGTTACGAAAGGTGTTCATATGGAAGGGGATTGGAGGAGGAGGAGGAGGAGGAGGAGGAGGAGGAGGATCCTCCTGCATGTTATGTGTTCGCTCTCCTTTCCTTCCTCATCATGTGGTTGTACCGTTGTGCTCCCTTCCTCCCTCCCTCCTTCCTCATCCGCGGCCTCACCGTCCTCGTCCTCCTTGTGTCGTCCCCCTCTCATCCCCCCTCTTTGTTGTTGTTCTCTCTCTCTCTCTCTCCCTCCCAGGGACAAACCGCTGACATCCCCTTCGCTCCTCCTTCTCTACCCGCTCGAGGCCTGATCGCTGGTATCCCTCTTTTGGCCATTTTCGTGTTCCTGGGCAAGAAGTTCTACGACATGAAGCAGCGCGAGGCGGCGCCGCCGTTCCCCAGTGCCCCCCCGACGTCCTCCTCTGCGTCGTCTCCTCCACGCCGACGAGGAGGTAGAGGAGAAGGAAGAGTTGAAGGATGAAGGAAGAGGGAGGAGGATGAAGAAGAGGATGAGTGGTGAGAGGAGGGAGGAAGAGGGGGTAGTCTGGGTCATCGTCGCCACGTGTGGGTCCGTCTCGAGATCGTGGTCAGGACACGCTCCCAGACAGACATGCAGGTCGATTCGAAGGAGAGGATCTGGTTTGGTTCGGGAACCCGTGGAGACCAGGTCAAGCCTGGGCACATTGCAAAATCACATAAGGAGGAATGTCCCACCACATGTGGGGAGAGCTCCCGATACTAGCGGAACAACACCTCCTTACCAGTTGTCGTAGGAGGACGATCAATAGCCTTGCACGTTGCTCAGATCTGAGTTGCAACAGTTGCATGTGTTCCATATCTTTCACAATAGATCACGCCACGCATCATTCTCAGCATATGATTGTTTGCACAGTTCGGGTACAGGGGGTGCCTCAAGCGGTCCGAGGAGGAGGAGGAGGAGGAGGAGGGAAGATGAAGGAGGACGGAAGAATGAGGGAGGTGTTAGAGATGTTGAAAGAGAGAGCTACGGGCGCTCTGGCAGTCCCTTAACAGGGCGCGGGATGAGAAGGATGAGGAGGAGGAGGAGGAGGAGGCCAGACAGACGCCACATCAACGACTCCGTCCCCCTTCCGAGCCACAGATGGAAACTGCTCAACATCTTCGAACACATTCGAACACCCTGGAACACCTCCGAAGCCATAAAGAACATCACGTAGGAGAAGGAGGAGGAGGAGGAGGAGGAGGAGGAGGAGGAGGAGAGGTAGGAGGAGGGAGGATTAGGAGGAGGGGGAGGAGGAGGAGGAAAAGGTAGAGGAGCCAAATAACCAAATCATTCAGCAGTTCGCGAGTGAACTACAGAGGCGCGGTCGCGGGCGGCACAGCAGAAGTGGGGCTCGCAAATGCCGTTGTCGAAATCGAAGTCAGGAGCCCCACAGACGTCGCGGGGACGTTGTGAGGGTTGGTACCAAATCGCGCTCGATGCGTCGGAAGGGGACGCCGCGAGGTTGAAGAGGGAGCAGGAGGAGGAAGAGGAAGAGGGTGAAGAGGGATGATGACTCGGATAATACGGAGAAGACGTCCAAAGCTTCGTGAGCTCGATGGAGCCTTAAATTGCCCGCGGGGCGACGGCGTGAGCCCTTGCCACCCGTACCCGAGGAGCCCCCTCGAGGACAAGGTCGAGCCCCAAGTTGGAGGGCCTTGCGCCGCGGTAGCCCCAAGCAGGCCCAGCAGCCCCCACTAGGGCAGCCAGGGCCAAAACATCCCAAGGCGGTGCGGGCCGCACGGGAAGGTGCAGCGCACCGCCCTGGGGGCCAGTGGCCCTTACGACAGCAGACGAGCTCCCGTACACTGCACCCGCCAGACCCTTGATATAGGCGGTGGGTGCCGCACCCTGCGGGCGACGGCGACCCTGCGCGGACGGGGAACCAGGCGAGGGGCCTGGGGACGCCATGCCGAGGGGGCCTGGCACGGGGGGGAACCCGGACCTACCTGCCAGGGTCGCCTCCCCAGAGGGGGCCTGGGCGCCCAGGCCTCCCCACACCACCCTCCGCCAGTCCTGCGGCCTGATTCTTGGCTCTACTTCTACCCCGCCGATGCAGGCGGTGTGAAGAAAGAGGGGGGCGAGGAGGAGGAGGAGGAGGAGGAAGCGGAGGAGAACCTGTTTGAACCCAAGACCCACGAACGATGTTGCAATAATCTATCCCTCTAAGATCAGTTTCCATAAATCCCTACAAGAATGTGTTTTCAAGTTGGGATGCGCCCTTTGGGACGACAACCGTCTAATTATCTTAAACCATATAAAAACGCATGATACCAGAGAAAAAACCCAATCAGAATTTATTGGGGGGCTATGGGGCTTTAGGGCTTTAGGGCTATGGGGCTATAGGGCTATAGGGCGATGTGGCCATAGGGATATAGGGCTAGAAGCCTTTAGGGCTATAGGGCTACTGGGCTATAGGGCTATAGGGCTAAGGGCTATAAGGATATTCGGGCTATAGGGCTATAGGGCTATATACGGCTATATACGGCTATAGGGCTTTAGGACCATAGGGCTATAGGGCTATGGGGCTATAGGGCTATAGGGCTATAGGGCTATAGGGCTATGGGGCTATGGGGCTATGGGGCTATGGGGCTATTGGGCTATTGGGCTATTGGGCTATAGGGCTATCGGAGGTGAGGGGGTGAGATCGAAGTGGAACGGCGAGCCCCCCACCGGGAAATCGGTTTCGGTTTCGTGTTCGTGCGTGCCGTGCGTGCGAGGCGAAGCTGCGTGGGCGGGCGAGAAAAAGTCTCCTGTGGCCGAGGCGCGGCCGGACCAAATGTTTCTCTTGCGGGGCCCCGCGGTGTCCCGCCGGTGTCCCGCGGTGTCCTCCTGTGGCTGAGGCGCGGCCGGACCAAATGTTTCTCATCCGGGGCGCGGGGCCCCGCCGGTGTCCCGCCGGTGTCCCGCGGTGTCCCGCGGTTTCCCGCGGTGTCCCGCGGTGTCCCGCCGGTGTCCCGCGGTGTCCCGCGAGGACGATGATGATGAGATGCTGATGATGATGACGATGATGATGATGATGATGATGACGATGATGATGATGATGAGGTGATGATGATGGTGTCCCGATGAAGATGATGATGTTGATGATGGTGTCGATGATGATGATAGTGTCCCGATGATGTGTATGATGATGCTCATGATGATTATGTGGATGATGATGACGATGATGGTGTCCCGATGATGATGATGATTCCGATGATGTTGGTGATGATGATGTTGATGGAAATGGTGTCCCGGCGATAATGATGTTGATGATGATGTTGATGATTATGGTGTCCCGTTGATGATTATGATGATGATGATGATGGTGATGATGATGATGATGATGGTGATGCTGATGGTGTCCCGATGATGATAATAATGATAATGACGATGTTGATGATGATGTTGCTCATGATGATGATGGTGCCCCAAGGATGATGATGATGTTGTTGATGATGATGATGTCGATGATGATGATGATGATGATCATGATGATGACGGTGTCCCGAGGATGATGACGATGTTGATGATAATATTGATGATAAGAACGATGGTGATCATGATGGTGTCCCGATTATGATGATGATCATGATGATGCTGCTGATGATGACGATGACTGTGTCCCGATGATGATGATGTTGTTGATGATGATGATGTCGATGATGATGATGATGATCATGATGATGACGCTGTCCCGAGGATGATGACGATGTTGATGATAATCTTGATGATAAGAACGATGGTGATCATGATGGTGTCCCGATTATGATGATGATTATGATGATGCTGCTGATGATGACGATGACTGTGTCCCGATGATGATCATGATGATGATGATGATGTTGATGATGAGATGATGATGGTGATTATGATGATGGTGTCGTCCCGATGATGATGCTGACGTTGATGATGATGTTTATGATGATGATGACGGTGTCCTCATGATGATGACGGTGTTGGTGATGATGATGATGATGTTGATGATGTTGATGATGATGACGTTGATTGTGAGAGCGATTGTGATATCGATAGTGAGATCGATATTGAGACCGAGTGTGAGATCGATTGTGTGATCGATTGTGAGATCGATTGTGAGATCAATTGTGAGATCGATCGAATGAGATAGATCGAGTGAGATCGATTTTGAGATCGATCGAGTGAGATCGATCGAGCGAAACCGATAGTGAGATCGATACTGAGATCGATAGTGAGACCGATCGAGTGAGACGTTGGTTCCCCCCCCCCCCGAACCTCGTTATCACCCGAAGGGCCGAAGGGTGGTCGTATAGGTACGGCTATAGGGCTATAGGGTTATAGTGTTATAGGGATATATGGCGATTGGGCTTAGGCTATAGGGATATAGGGCTATTGGGCTAGGCACCCCCGGGCACTTCTGGGTACCCCGGGCACCCGGGCACCCCTGGACACCCGGGCACCCCCAGGCACCCCCGGGCACCAGGGCACCAGGCCCCGGCCACCGAAATCGGCCACACACCTGGGCACCCGGGCACCCCCGGGAACCCCCGGGCACCCGGGCACCCGGCCCCGGCCACCGAAATCGGCCGCTCACCTCACCTCAGCTTTATATCCGCTAGGACCCCTACAGAGGCAACTCTGATTGGGGAAGTTCTTAGAACGTGACAGTGACTGATGCGTTCTGACGGTCATAAATCGTGCCAGAGCACCATTCCTGGGATTTCAACACCGCGAATCGACGTGGCTCTTGCGCGCAGACAGTGTCAAATCGTGCCAAAACATGATCCCAGCGACTCCGCGGAACCGGTGCAATTGTTTAGAACGACCTTGCGCGGCGCTAAGGCGAGAGCCACATTTTGAAAAGGGAACCGGCCTCCACCCTTGAAGCTGTTGCAACCTGTAAGACGATTGTTCGCGGGCCGAGGTGAGAACGACATTTCGAGAAAGGGAAAAAACAGCCGTCCATCCTTGAAAATCTTGCAATGTTCAAAGACGAATGCGGTCGACGCGAAGGCGGGATCCACTATTTGATGGCGGGCCGCCCTCCATCATTGAAACTGCTGCGGAATTCTAGGACGAATGAGCGGGGCGATAAGGCGACAGCCACATTTTGAAGACGTGCCGCCCTCCATGTTCCAAACTGTTGCGCGTTTCAAGCGTCAGGATCGCAAGTGGCTGGGGAGATTCAGGCGAAACGCCCAGCCCGCCCTACCGACACGTCTGGGGGTGCGACAGGGAGGAGTTATTTATAAGGAAAAGGAATGGGGGAGGAGCCAGCAGCAGCTCCTTCAAATACTTGTTTCCGATTTGGTGGGGCACTGTGCCAGGAGCGAATGAACAAAAACTCACCCATTTTGGCCCTGGCATGCCACTTCGACACCCCGTTGAATCACAATTCCCGC